CACAGACTAGACCTTGTAAACTACTTATATAGGCCAACCAGTAAAATTAAGAACACGCTACTAGCACGAGCAAAGCTAATAGGTATTATGGATCCTCGTGGTCCCGATAGCGGAAGGGTATCAGGCACGGGTAAGCCTTTGACGAGGGCACCGAGTGTTCAACACTCGGTTGGAGAATAAAAGGGATGCAATACAAGCACCCCCAGTCGTGCAAATAGGCAATTATAAGCCGTCACGTAAACCTCCCGATAGTAATCGGCCAATACACACACAGTCTCTTGGTCTTACCGGATGAACCCTCGCTACACAGCTTCGAGTTCACCGACAGGCATACCACACTCAAACAAGCTTGACCAGACGCTTACCTTGAAGCCGGACGTTGCTCTGTGTATTTAAGTGGAAATTCTGTTCTGTATTTATGTTTCCCTTATCGGGCCTATTTCTAAAAAGAAGTCCAAACTATGTTTACAAATATCAAGTGACCTATGATCCGTTATGTATCTTCTTGCACGCCGAGCGTAGTCTGCACTGTCGCATGCGCATCTTTAACAGCTCGTTTCCCAGACGGTGAACGTGCCTTCAAATGGTCACGAAGTTTTCCGCGAACTCATCCCAACCGCCATCGAGGGTTCGTACCGTAGATGGTCAATTCTTGGCCGCTGAATGCGAATCCGGCCAGTCCATTATTAATTATAAGGACATCCTGGATTGATTGCCATCTGGACCGTATTCAATATCCGCGGAGTGTTCAGTAGTGACACCGTCGAGTCTCTTGCCCCTTGGAGTCACCGTACATCATGTGACCGAGTGTTCGTCGCTTGAGCATATTCGACGGTGCTGCATCTTTGTTGACGGGCGATTATCTGCAACCCTGAAAAAATTACTACACCACACGACACAGCTATACGCTTCCTGTATGTCAGACACCGTGACGTCAAGGGGTAGGACCTCAAGCTCCGTCTCGATCTGGTTATCTCCAAGTTTGACGCGGATGTTCTTGTCGTCGAACTTCGTTGTCTGGCGTTGGTGCTATTCGAGCCGACGTTTCGACACGTAGATCGTGGTAGCTCCACGGTCCAACAGCATACGCTGAGTGGACAAACTCCGACCGCTCACGTCGATATCTCCTGTTTTACTGAGAACAACGGGCGTGACTTGTAAACTAGAGGGTTTTCACACAGAGTGTCAAGGCTAATAGTCCCATTCTTAGTTTCTCTGATTACGCGCTTGGCCACGTCAGGACCCTTTTTCACTGACGCGGATGCTCGTTTTCTTGTGTGCCTTGCTCTTTCTCCCAGAAAACCAGTTGACCTGGATGAGGCCAGGCTTTTTACAGAAATGGCAGGTACGCTTCTCGGTATGTTTGTCGTCAGACATCGGCTTGAGCCGACCTCTTCCTCGAAATGACTACTCCTTGGGACGCCTGTCTTGACCGAGCGGCTGGTTACCAGAGGTGGTTTTCCTGTCTTCGTGGTATTGACGCTCGTGCATATCGTCCACAAAGTGGGTGACCTCGTATTTGACCGCTAGATCCATGGCGTCGCTCAGTGATTCCGGCTTCTCCAGTTGATGTAGCTGCGCGTGCGATGTTTGGGCCCATTAGCGTAGCAAAGAACCTGGTCGAACATGCTCGTGTCTTCAATCCAGAAAATAAGAGCCGAGTACTCGCCGTTGTAGGACTCGATACCGCTGTCTGTTTGAGCCGTTGAAGCTTCTCACGTAGCACAACTAGGTAGCTTGATGCCTCAAAGTTTTTAAGCACGTGCTCATGAAAAAAAAAACCACGTGTGCTCCTCGCTTTGATGACCAATGAAAGAATCATCCAGAGGCCGGTTTTTCCACCGCTGGCCCAGTAATTTGCGGGAGGCGCGTGTTCGCGTCCTCGCTCGGGATGTTGTTGATGCGGCAAGCGTTCTCGATCTGGAACAGCCATTCGCGTATGTTCTATTCCCTCTTGCCGGTGAACGTGGGCAGATTGGTCGGCACTCGCGTGCGGTCTGCCATCACTTAGTTGAGCCGATCGATCTCGGCTTATATCTGGGCGTTCGTCGGCATGAAGGCTTGTTCATGTTGCTGGAACGAACACGTTCTACCATTATTTCGAGAGGAACCGTGGGGAGGGTATGCAAAGCACAAACTACCACCCCCACAGCCCAGAAGCTTCCACATCCGCCCTAGATATGCTGTATCCTATTTAGACTTACTATGCCATACTGTCCACTCAGATTCTCGATAGATATATGATACAGCTCAAAACGAAATGATCCTTAGCGCCAACTTGAGTATTTTTGTAGGAAGGTTTAAGGATTTGTCCGGCCGCTTCGGATTTAAGTGAAAATTAAAAAAAAATCCGATTTGTGTTTGTCACACTTACAGCCAATCACACTATTTTTTCGTAAGCTCACACTCTGGTAGCAGCACGGAGTAAGCGAAGACGACAGCAACATGACAGACGCCTTCGCTACCAAAAGCAAAGAGGATGCACTCACACAAGCTGTAGATGCGGAACACTCAAGAAATGCCTTTAGAGCCGCTTGCACAATAGTCACAAATGTGAGAGCGCCACTTAATCCTCTTTCACGCCTAATTGGACAGGGTTGATGACATATTATGTAACGGGGTACAATCCAGTGTACCCCCGGTAACATAAAGAGTGACCCGTCAATCTTGTGGACACCTGGTACGCGGTACCAGGTGCTCTAGGAGCCAGTCAGGGCATGGCTACTCAGCTCCACTATAGGTAGCCTCTAGTTTGTGTAGAACCCAAGCTAAGCTTACTTATAAGTACATCCGTCTTACATCTACTATTTTAAGTAGCAAACCGTTCCCACTGAGGCCGGGAACACGTGGACTAACGGCTACTCGGGTAGTAAATACCCTTAAAAACTCCTCTGTGCAAGGTGCTGTGTGACCCCATCACACTTAATATCACTCACAGTCAATCCTACACCTTCGCGGGTAGATTGAACTACCTGAATCCTCTGTGCGCTCAACATTTGAGCCACGATGAACCAAAGTGAGTTTCCTCGCTTGAACGACTCACAGTACGAGTCTGTTTCAGAAGATGGTAGGCATCTTTGGACAAGATGTCCACCGCAGCTTGGCGGCGGCGACGCCTGCCGAGCAACACGAACGCGTGACTGCGTTTGAGACCTACGAGCGTGGTCTCATCGCTCACGTCCGCGGGAGTTTGGAGGCGAATACCACTTGCTCAGATGCTAGTGCACCCTGCGGCAAAGCACTGTACGCGCGCTACCGTCTTACCCCGCATATAAGGCATATGTGCTCTAAATAAAATACGGGATTCGCTCGACATGTAGCTTAAACCGCAATCTGACCACCTACCTAAATAGAACACATGTGGCTGAAACCTACTTAAAACACAAGGCTGTACGAACCAGTTAATGTTCTTGAGAGCTCCCAACCAACCACCCTTCTGAACAAACTTGTCGGTGCTGCTGTTACTTGGCTTTGATTGTCTTATTTTATAATTTACACAGCCATGAGTGCTGAGCGACGTAGCTAAAGGTTTATTCTGCTGACAAGGACAATAAGCTGGTGTCCAAATTCTCGTACACGGTTGGAAATCCTCTGAAAACGCTGTGCTTGATTCGCCCCGTACTTCGCAGTGAAGTAGATGGATACATAATATAACACCAGTACACGTGATTACATGTAATGCATTTGTACAAACGATTCTTACGAAAAAAAACAACAATAATAGAATTCATAATATTATCAAGCCAAACCTCCGTATACAACGCAGTTACAACAGAAAGAAAAGACCCTTTACCAATCACAACATCATGTGAACTGCACGCAGGCGGGTTTGAACCCTACCCGATCGCGTAGGAGGGTCAAGCCTAAGCGACTAAGCCAGATTCCAGGGCCCACAAACTTGCTTCTTCAAAGTCTAAAAATTTGTTCGCTGTACAACACATAGGCTTTCTAAACGAATATAACACACAAGCAGTGTTGTATTCGCTTACAGCACATATGCCTTATATGCGGGGTAAGACGGTAGTGCAGGAGCTAAGGCAGCTCTGAGTGTAGGCTTTGCGGCCAACACAGTTGTGAGCATAGGGATGCAAATCCCAGTGAGCTGTGGGAGCACAAGCCATTGTGGGTGTGAATGAGAGCCGCTCCAGTCTCGTGGCTGCTCAGTGTGAGAATTCATCTTTGGATGCTTTGATTCTCTCACTTCGGATTGGAGAATCAGTTGTAGCTGGAGAATCAGGTGATTCTCAGTTAAGTGGTGGGGGATGTAACGGGGCACGTACCCCAGGCTACATAAAGAGTGACTTGTCAATCTTGTGGACACCTGGTACATGGTACCAGGTGCTCTAGGAGCCAGTCAGGGCATGGCTACTCAGCTCCACTACAGGTAACCTCTAGTTTGTGAAGAACCCAAGCTAAGCTTACGTATAAATGTATCAGTCTTACATCTACTATATCAAGTAGCAAACCGTTCCCACTGAGGCCGGGAACACGTGGACTAACGCTCACTCGGGTAGTAAATACCCTTAAGCACTTCCTCTGTGCAACCCCGTCACATATTTGGACTCCCCGCAAAATTTCACAGTAGAGTGGCCAATAAAAGAAAAGGTATAAAGTTGACAACAATAATTGACTACAATAAGTACATGAATCGAAAGCTACTAGCTTGAAAAGTGAGTTTTATTGCTAAGGATCAGTGAGGAAGATATTTGCTCGAGAAAGGTTTGTGGATCTAACCCGGAACAAAATTCCATCACGATATACACATTAAGAATATGCGCCCAGATGAGCCTTCGCCTAACAGCATAACTCTATTCTTTGCGGCCACTGTGTGAGGTGGTTCGACTCGTGTAGTAGTAGCAGTATACCACACACTCACAATAGTGTACGCTCACCTGGAAAAGTCATCTTTGACTTCTGTTAATAAAATACATGACCGTACTCCTAACTTATATAAAATGCCCCACTGGCCACAGAAAAACAGGAATAGCTGGTTGCGGGGTTCAAACAACATCCTCTACAGCCAAACTCCACCATCCTCTTTCTTCCTCCATCTCGTCGTCTACGTCAATGTACTGTGCCATTGATTTCTGTTCGTTGGACTTCGGTGTATGTCGTGGAGAGTCATGTGAATACGAAGTGCGCTGAATGGAAGCACGGCGACTACGATCGCCGTCATCAGAGCCACCTGACTGGTCATCACGTCCACGGAATACCTTGTGGAGAGACGATCGAAGGTGCTGCATAACTCTAGTCTCTTGGGACTCATCTGCACCCGGATCAGAGGGCACTGAAGATTTCCAGCTGAACGAACCGCTCTGTAAAAGACCCGACCGCCGTCGCTCGACCTCGAGCTCTTCTCGCACACGATCCAACTCGCTCTGCACTTCCGCGAATTCTTGGGCCTTCTGCTTTTCCAGTTTAATCGACCGCTGCTTCGAGTACTGAGCAGCAAGTCGTAAGCACTTTTCCATATCCTGAACTGCTGCTCGCAACTTGTCTGCTTCTTGCTTTGCTGCTTCCAATTCCGACTGCAGTTCCTCCTGTCTCTTGTCTGCCGTGGGGTCGCTTGTCAGAGGCTCAAACTCGCGGAGATGGTCGATCGGAGGCAGCCCAATACGATCATGCAGCTCATTGATAAGATCCACTTTTTGAGCCTCTCGTGGCGAGCCGCGTGCTGCTGGAAAGAGAGGCGAGTGATAATGTTCGTAAAAATGCTTTCGTGGCTCTTCGTCTTCGTCAGCGCCTGATCCAGTGACGTTATTTGGCCCGTCAAAGCCTTCTTCCTCCCCGTAGTCACCTATCTCCCCAGTCACATCATTGAAACCTCCACGACCACTCAAAATATCCCGTGTAGTTTGAGCTGTCGTCTTTGCCTCCGTTTCCTCCCTCTCTCTCGCCTCTGCTGCTTTCCTCGCTCGTCTTTTCTTCACCACCTTCATCATCCGTCCTCGAATCTTCGTCAGTAGCGCCAATTGGTTCAGTCTCTCCTTCATATTGCGATTATCCTGCTGCATCTTGGACACCAGCTCCTGCTTCTCCGTTAGTGACCTGTAGCGGTTCTGCTGCGACTGATAATACGCCGCAGCCAGCGCCTGCTGGCTCGAGTCCTTTGCCAGCACCTCATTAGTCCACTCAGACAGACCCTCAGCTCGTTGCAGCAGAGCCAAAGCTTTGGCCTTGACAATGTCCTGGAGATGCGGCGCTGCCTGGCGTCTGCCAATCTCGATGAGCATCTGTCCTGCTCTAATATAGGCGTCAATAGCTGTGTGTGGCATCTGTCTCCGCTCATTATCGATGGCGTACTGAGCCACTTTGACGGCCTCTTCGTATTCAGAGCCCAGTAATTGCGCCGCTGTAAGTCGCAGCAGTTCTTCCTGTTCAGGAACCGGTTCTGCGGCTTTCGGAGGGACCGCGGGTGTCAGCAAACTGGCAAAAGGAGCGGGATCATCCGACGGCGAGCGACTTATAATGATTACGGGTGGAGAAATCGAGAAACTCGCGGAAGCGCGACGTACAGGCTGATATTCGCCACCCACAGCGACTCGGACAGGTTGCCGCAAGGGTATTTCGCTTCTTATAGGTATGGAAGGAACTTCGGGCCATGATAAAGAGGCGGCAGTCACTACATGTGCAAGCGGGGCAGGTGGGGGCGGAGAAGGTCGCTTGCCCTCGCGCAACGCTCGCAGACGCGCCTCCAAGTCCATGCGGCCAGCCATGAAGACGCTGCTGGTTGTTCTTCACCCGAGTTCCGATGTAAGTACGCTTTTGGGTTACGTTGGTTGATTGTAGATACAAAAGGAAACATTCGTGTCTTACGCAGAAAAGTCGCATTCTATTGGGGGAAATGCGCATACCATGGCGGCAAAACAACACATTTTCCCAATTATGTATACATTTTTCTATGTGTAGCACTTACAACACCATTTACGAGGAAAGTTGATCCTATTCGCACAGGAAACAGACAAAGTCGCCACTTTACACATATAAATCTATCACACTAGCAAACAAACGGTTTAACAATAACAGCTCAGCATCCACTTGTATTTGATCGCTGTCGGCGATATGTACAGTGCTGGCGGTTAGTAAACTGCCACCCTTGTTTTTCGATAGATTTTATCCAATGTGAGGTTTTTCTGCACGTTCTTGGGACCAATGAAAAGCGCGCAGTAAACCGAAGCGGACGCCACTCGATTCAGGTCAATCGGCCATTTCCTCCCCCCACCACAGAAATAAAACGCCTCCCTTGCTTGAGGAGGCTGGCGGTTAGTATACTGCCGGTGCGTACTTTGCAGCCAAGGACGCGTTGTTTTGGCGTGTTCTTCTAATATAACGATGCCAAGCACCATACAAGTGTACTAACATACGTTTGTGCATGTAAATGTACTACTAGCATGCCTAGAGGAACCAAGCTCACCCAAGAAGAGCAGCATCGTATAATAGCATTTCGCGAGGCAGGGCTAAGCGAGCGAGCAATAGCGCAGCGCGTACGTCGCTCTCGACCAGTTGTACACGCACTCCTAACCGATCCAAAAGGCTACACGAAATTTAAAAGACCCGGACAACCCAAGAAGTTGACACCGACAGCTCACCGCCGACTGCTCCGTGAAGCTTCGAAAGGCAAGCTGAGCTCTGCGGAGCTCAAAATGGCCTTAGAGCTACCGGTAAGTACACGGAGGATCCGTGAAATCCTACAAGCCGACCCTAACATGAAATATGAAAAGCGTAAAGCTTCCCCCGTGCTAACAAAGAAGCACAAGGAGGCTCGTCTCAAATGGGCTCGTGACAAGGTGACATGGAGTGAGGAAAAATGGGGAGCCTGCGTCTTTTCAGATGAAAAGAAGTTTAATCTCGATGGACCGGATTGTATGCAGTACTATTGGCACGATTTACGCCGCGAGCCTGAAGTCTACTCTACTCGCCAAAGTGGTGGTGGGAGTGTCATGGTCTGGGCTGCATTTTGTGCTAGTGGTAAGTCTGAACTGGTAATTTTGGAGGGCAATCAAAACAGCGAGCGGTACACGCTCTCTGAACATTTGCTGCCTTTCATTGACCGAGTGTACGGTCAAGACTGCATTTTTCAGCAGGACAACGCGTCCATTCACTCCTCCTCCGCCACGAAGGCGTTTTTGAAGGAGGAAAAGGTCGATGTGATGGACTGGCCAGCCAAGTCACCGGATCTTCATCCCATCGAAAACATGTGGGGAGTACTCGCGCGTGCCGTCTACGCTCAAGGACGGCAGTTTCAGACGAGAGAAGACCTCATTAAAACAATTCAGGCATCTTGGGCGACGATCGGACACGACCTGATTAAAAAGCTGATTCAGTCGATGCCGAGGCGCTGCATCGCTACGCTAGAGCGTCACGGTGCTAAGACATAGTACTGAACCGAATACTAGCGTCTAACTAGCTGTAGATATCGCTTTAGTCGAATTGGCAGTATAGTAACCGCCAACGAGGCCAACTTCAACTTCACCTTTTTCACGATTGCAGCAAGCTGTGGTGTTGGAAATCCCACGTGAACTCTAGCTACAGATGTAGTTAGGATGTTCCCACAACAATACGTCTACTAGGATAGTAAACGATCGTTCGGGCGGACCTGAAGACCCCAGTTCTGCCCTTGCACCGGGACAAACTGGACCTTGTAAGCTACTTATATAGGCCAACCAGTAAAATAAGAACACGCTACTAGCACGAGCAAAGCTAGCAGGTGTTTTGAATCCTCGTGGTCCCAACAGCGGAAGGGTACCAGGCACGGGTAAGCCTTTTACGAGATCACCGAGTGTTCAACACTCGGCTGGAAGAAATAAAAGGGAGGCAATTCAAGCACTCCCAGTCGTGCAAATAGGCAACAATAAGCCGTCACGTAAAACCTCCCGATAATAATCGGCCAATACACAAAGTCTCTTGGCCTTGCCGGATGAACCCTCGCTACAGAGCTTCGAGTTCACCGACAGGCATAACACACTCAAACAAGCTTGACCTGACGCTTACCTTGAAGCCGGACGTCGCTCTGTGTGCTTGAGTGGAAATTCTGTTCTGTATTTAAGCTTACCCTTTCGGGTCTATTTCTAATAAGAAGTCCTAATCAAGTATACAAATATCAAGTGAACAATGATCCGTTATGGATCTTCTTGCATGCCAAGCGTCGTCTGCACTGTCGCATGAGCATCTTTAACGGTCCGCGCCCTGTCCCAGACGGTTAACGTGTCTTCCAAAGGTCGCTGAGTATTCCGCGAGCTCATCCCAACCGCCACTGAGGGTTCGTACCGTAGATGGTCCGCTGAATGCGAATCCGGCCAGTCCATTATTAATAATAAGGACAGCCTGGATTCAGTGACATAGGGCCGTATCCGATATTTGTTGAAAACTCGGAGGTGACGCCGTCGAGTCCCTTACACCTTGGCGTCTCCGTACATCACCCGACCGAGGGTTCGTCGCTTGAACAACTTGGGCGGTGTCACGTCTTTGTCGACGGGTGATAATCCGCAACTACGGAGAAATCACTACACCACAAAGCCTACTTGGCCGATTGACCTGCGTCGAGTGGCGTCCACTTCGGTTTACTGCGCGCTTTTCATTAGTCAAATCCATGTACAATAAAGCCTCCTATTGGATAAAATCTGTCAGAAAACAAGGGTGGCAGTTTACCAACCGCCAGCACTGTAGTGTATGATTTATTAAATATCACACCAAAGGTGTCCGTCCACCTTACCCTAAAATACGGCCGCAGTGCGACATTTTAAAATTAAAACCTCATCAAGGTTTTTTACAGTGAGCCCATTTGATGACATCCGTTCTAAACAGGTAGCAGATAGTCTTTTAACGATCTGTCTCTGGAGGATGTGTCACCATAGAAATGGGAACGTCGCACTGGACCCGTTTGTCGCACTGGGGCCGTATTTTGCGGGTATACCCACCTATGATTATAATGCACACCCGACGGCATGTTACGATTGAATCAATATTTGAAAGCTGCTGTTCAGAGAAAGAAAAGCTTTTGAAAATTAGCCGGGACAAATAATAATAGGCGGATGAAACAATAGCACATCGATAAACGTGGTAGTGCTGCCATTGTGTAGCTCTCTGATTCTTCGATGATATGAGACCACCCAAAACAAAATCATACTTACGAACCATTTAGAGTTATCGATACTTATATTATATGTATCGGCTTAGAGACGAGCTTCAAAGGCCTTAGCACAGATAATAATATACGGTTACCGTTTTTTTATGATGCAAAACTCGTTCATGCAAGTCGGTAAAACTATAGAGATCTCACTGACCAATCTACACCTTAATATGTGCAATAGGTCTCAGACTTTGTCTTAGTTAAGTGCTGACTGCGAAGCTACAATCTTTGCACACTCAGCACATAATCTACTTCCTGTCAGCATAGCGGTCATAAACTAGTATCACACTACAAGCCGTCAGCTACGACCCTAGCGTTGTCACTGCCAGCTTATTTTGATCGGAAATATTGATCAAGAAAATAATTTTTCGCCTACTTTCATTCCATATGTAGTAGGATGACCTACGACAGGGACTTGACGAACCCGAGCGGGCAGTCGGTTGAGGTGATCGACCTGACGGTCGAGGATGGTGTGGACGACACCGGCGAGTTCGGTGACGTGTGAGTGTTGTAGATGCAGTGCGGTGGCGGGGTCGAGCCAGCAGATTGGCGCCACCGACGACAGGAGGTAGCAGTTGAAGCTGATCGACGTTCGAAGATCGCAAGGAGGGCGGACATGCGCGACAAGCGAGCGAGGACAGACGGTAAGGAGGCGAGGCGACATCAGTAGGGTAGCAAAGGGCCCTCTCAGTAAAAGTAGGTAGGCGACGGTGGGCTTTGTAGGGAGGATCCCGAGCGTGCGGCTGGCTGCTCGACCCTCAGTTGAGATTGTTTCCGATTAGCGAGCAAGTAAGACTAATAAAGGAGAGTGGCACCGAAGCACGTGTTCTTAAGGGCAAAAGAAGGTGAGCCAGAGAAGTGCAGCAAAGTCGAGGGCGGAAGGGCCAGTAGGGTGGCGAGGACCATGGAGAAAGACCATGGGGGTCGTAGCTGTCGGCCGAGGAGGCAGAGCTCGGATACGGCTTGCCGTACGGATCTCACGCCCAGCACATGTTATATGAAATACGGGTTCACTTTGCGGGACACAGGGAAGTTCCCGGGGGTGCCGGTCGCCGATAATGTGTCCTCCTTGCTGTCCCTATCCGTTTGGGTGGCTCATCCAACTGCCAGTATCTGTGCGGTATAGGTGGCGTGAAGCCCCCAGATAGTGCTCGGAGGCAGTACGGTGAAGTTCACCGGCCGATAATTGCAATCCTTGGTATCGTACTGGGGACGCTTATGTGGTGCACCCCACATTGGTCCGTAGCCGGTTACCACACTCCGCGATTCGCCATCAAGTCCCAACTGGTCCTGCTCGCCGCTCCCAGCCGCCGCCGTCAAGGACCCGTGCCCTTGTCGCCCACTTGCGGGATCGCTAGACTCACTGCTTCGTCCAACGTCCGACGCCTGTGCCCTCGCACGTGCGTCGCACCCTCCGAGCTACTCATTCCCTTCAAGAACGCGCGGACGAGCCAGTCTTCGCCCACATCACCGTTCTCTCCGATCTCGCGCAGCGCCTGCGCGTACTCGACAAGCCGGTCGCCCTTTATCTGGCTCCTGGCGCTGAGCCGGTCAACCACCTCGGGGCCCGTGCGTTGCGTCATGTACTTTGCGCGCAGCATCTCGAACAACATGTTGATGCTTTCTTCTACGGGCGATACTGATTCCATCCATGTCGCAAACCAGCGCTTCGCCTCGCCGTCCAAGTGCGATGCAACCTCGTGGTAGAGCTGGCCGTCTCTCCACTCCACGCCCATCGTCACCGCGTGCCGACGGACTTTGGTCCTCACCGTCTTGAGCCACATCGTGACCGACATCTTGTCATCCAGCCCTTTGAACTCCGCGATCTTCAAGGCCTCCAATTTCTCGCGCACAATCACCTGTCGTGGATAGTGTCTCTCTCCCGGGGAGACTGCCCCCTTGCCGTTAATGTTACTGGAGCGACTGGTGGAGCACGACCGGGACCACCACCGTCTCGGCCGCCGTCGTTCCCAGCTCCCGTCAGATCCACCGCGACATCTACATCCACGTCTTGGTTCTCGTCCGCGTTCGCGACCACTCCGTCTTCGCCATCTCGTGGAGCGTCATCTCCGCCCCGTCCTGCTTTCCGTGAGCCGCCACCAGTTCCTCTCCATCCCGCTCCTGGACTGCCACCCGTACCGCTTACCACCGACGCACTTCTGCCCTCGCCGTCAAAGGTAAAGCCGCCCAAGCTCAGGTTCATCGGCGTGCGTCCCGTGTTCGGCCGGATCTCGTCCGTCTCCAGCGTCACCACAGCACCGCCACCAGTTCCTCTCCATCCCGCTCCTTGACTGCACCCCGTACCCCTTGCAACCGACGCACCTCTGCCCTCGCCGTCAAAGGTAAAGCCGCACGTCGCTGAGCGCGTTTGTTTCGTTCTGTACCCAAAGTCATTATCGGATCTCTGTTATTCAAAATACAATCACCTCGGTTAGCTCCTCTTTCCGTTCGTCCCCTGGCTCTCTTTGCCCGGTGCTGCTACCCATCCGCCACGGTTCCACGGCAACCACAGCTAGGTTCCGTTCCCCTCTCTGTCCCTCGGCACACATATACAACAGCTAGGTCCGTGCTGATCTCTTCCGAATACTCGTCCGATAACGCCAAGCCCGCAGCAACTACATGTAGCTAGGTTCTGCCCGGAAGGCGCCTGTTATGACCACCATGTGGTTATGTCCCACGTGAGGACATAGAGACCAATACGCTCACGCTACCGACAGCAGAAGACTACATCATTGTGGGTCTAGTGGTACTACCAGGCGACAGCTCGCTCAGTCTTGCAGCAGAGGAAAGTACAACAGGTAGCGTAGGAAGTTCTGAATCCAGTGCCATGAACTCGTCCACTTGGTCGACCACAGCTCAGGGGCGGAGGCAGGCCCTTTTTGGGGGGGCCATGGCCCCCCCCTCAAAAATCCCCAGATTTTAAAAAATGGCGGGGAAGTTAATGTATAGCAACTTTCTTTTGTCCCTTTCACTAAAAGCTGGGATATATTTTAAGTTTACATAACAAACTTTGCCAGCAGAAACTCTTTTTAATATACAAATTTCTGTTTTTTATGCTTTAAAAGGAGTATTTTGTACCTTAATTAACAGTAATAACCAATACAATTTGGATGTGGCAAAAAAATACTGAAAGTTTAAACTTTTGTTGTGGGATTTCAGTAGATCAACACCCTTTAACTAGTACTTATAGAGGAATTCGCCGTTCTGATGCACTACTGAATCGATCTAGTACCTCATCGCGGCTGATACTGATTGTGAGGTCAGTTTCTGTGCTCAAAAGTAGAAGATCGGATAGCCATTCGTCGCCGATCTTCGTCCTTAGACGAGTTTTAACGCGTTTCATTACTGAAAATGAGCGCTCAGCGCTCGCCGTTGACACTGGTAGCGTACAGACTAGTTGAATTACTCGGTGCAGCGTAGGAAATATTGTATGTGCATCTGAAGCAATCATTGTGACACTAAGTTGATTGACGGACTTGGTGTTCTCAAAGCGACTGTCATTGATTGCAAATTCACGGAAGCTGATTGCCTCCTGCTTCAAACTTTCAATTTGACTTTCGAAGTCTTTCGGATAGTAGTCGCTTGCAATTTTAGAAATTGAGTCAGGGTTCCAATAAATGAACTTTTTACGAGCGTTTAATCCTCCGCAAAGCTCCATCAGATCAAGAATGTCTCCACTAAAACGTCGTTTTAATTCACCAGCAATTCCTTTAACCACAGCTAAATACACGTCTTTATAATAGTGAAATTCTTGTGTGACAATCTCATTTCGATCCGCACCGGGGACACCAGACTTTCCTTTTCCCCTGTTACGTGATCCCCTTCGTGACCACGGTGCTGTTTTGACCGGTACGTCGATAGGGTCGTGCAATGATGTGCAGAATGCTTCCGCAGTAGCCCAAACAGTACAAAAACTAGTCTTTTCGTCGTCTTTTAGTTTGTTAGCTTGCATATTGTTGAATAAAGTTTGCGTCTGTCTCACTAGTCCTGAAGCCGAGGCTATATCCATGTCATCCTTTTGTAGATATTGAGACAAGATGTTTACTTTTTCCAATACCACTATGAGAATTTCCATGTGAAAAACGAAATCAAATGTTTGCATTTTTGTAATAATGCCCTTTGCATCAGCTCGCTTGTCGGGATTGGCTCCATCTAATTCCACGCGCCTCAATACTTGAATAATTGGAGTCCATAACCATCTAATCCGTAATAAAGCTCGCACACGACAATTCCAGCGCGTAGCACTTAAAGCCTGAGTTGCAAGAGGCTGGTTCTTACCTCGACCGGTTTCCCGATAACCACTGCTGATTAGTTGTTGTAGTTCGTCTTGCGCGTAACCATACAAACTGTCTTTCCTTTTGTATGATGCACTACAAGTAGCGTGAATAGACTGAACGATGTTGAAGCATTCCGTCACAGAGACAGTCTGTTTTGATACAGTCACTACTGCAAGATTAAGGCGGTGAGCGAAGCAGTGAACGTAGTAAGCGTACGGGCAAGTATCTCGGATCAATTTTTGTAGCCCATTATATCCACCGGACATGTTTGAAGCCCCATCGTATCCTTGGCCACGGCACCGAGAAATGTTTATTCCCCAAATTGTGATTTGATTTATCAACGCAGATTTAAGTGACTCAGAAGAGGTATCGCGAACGTGAACCGAACCCAGAAGACGTTCTCGAATTTCACCAGTATGCCTGGATAAAAACCGGACTACAATAGCCATGTTTTCTTTTCCACCTTCACATGTTGCTTCATCTACTAGGAGCGCAAAATACCCTTGTCCAAGTTCATTCTCCACGATATGTTCACGAACTACATCCGCCGCGCAATGAATAAGCTCCCGTTGTACTGTAGGAGATGTGTACTTGGCATTTGCGGCGGCAGAGTTCATCAAATCCGCGAAATCTGGCATTCTCTGAGCCAAAAAAGACAGCATTTCAAGAAAAGTACCCCTATTGCAGGACGTCTCCTGTTGAAGAATCAAAAACTGTCAATTAGGACTCCGTTTAAACGTTAATACTAATAACGCCTACCTTCTCGTCGTTGCCTCTGAAAGCAATACCTTGTCGCGCGAGAAATAAACACACGTCTAAAATCTGACGAAGTCTTTTCCTATTTTGTTCTCGCTGGCTTGCATTTGTTCTTTCCAGAGCTATCGTAATATCACAACTTCCCCTCAGGACTTCGAAAAATGCAGCTTCAGCATTATGATGTCTAGAACAGGGCTGACCAACGTGGGCGACAAAACCGTCTTTTGTCGTGGCTTTTTTCCAGTTGTGAAAGCCCAGAGCTGGACGCGCAAACACAGAAGTGTCCTTTGCTGTCATTGCTTCTCGGCTTAAGTAACACCATCTACAATACACTGCGTCTGCTTTTTCAGAATACTCCAACCACTTATATTTTTCGAACCATTCAGGCTGAAATGATCTCGAACGCTTGCCATAGGAGCGGCTCGGATAGCACGTTAGGCGGGGTCGAAATAAATTCATCTTAGAATATGCAAAAATGACTCCACGACGTAGCTTCGGATCCTCTTGCAGCTGTCTAATTGCAAAAATATTAGGAGGGCGGTCCACAGGATCGCAACGAACAAAGTCGTGAACACGGCAGTCAAGTGGGTCTTCCGCGATGCCATTTTCGTGGCACCATTGAGCTGCAGATGACGATTCTAAGTCCGCACTACGTGAAATAGGTGGAGTAGTAGGCTCTGCTAGAGATGAAGTTTGTACCGGATTATTAGTGCGCTCTTGTACTTCATCCGGGGACGGCCGAGGTTGCTTGGCGAAGAAGTTTGTTATTGCTTGCAGTTTCTGTCTCTTGGGCGGCATCGTGCTTCAATACTGTAACGGGGTACGTAGCACTAAGTGTACCCTGGTTACATGAAGTGTGACACTTCACACTTCAGGAGTATGACATGTCATACTCCGGGATATTTGGTACAAGGTACCAAGGTCATTCAAAACGAACCATTGGTTAAATGACATTGCATTTCTATAGGTAACTGATAGTTTGTATTAACCTCAAACTTAACCTACCTATAAATATACTCAGTTTACAATCTACCTTATTTACGTCACTTCGCTCTCTTTAATTAAAGAGGGGACCTGTGAACTGCCGCTCACTGAGAGTTTGTATACTCTCGGAAGATAACTTCCTCTAGCGCAAGGTGCTGTGTGACCCCGTCACAAATACGCAAGTGTGGATTTAATCGTGGAAATACTTAACCCTACTCACTATGGCCCCCCTCTCTAATTTTGGCTGGCTCCGCCCCTGCCACAGCTGCCCCCGTAGCCACCACACCGCCGCTAACTTCGTGTGGTGGAGCTTGGTCTTGAGTTTTTTTTTTCGTGTAGCAACATTACATACACAATGCGTACACCATACTAATTGCCAGTAATAACACCAAATAACCATAGTAACGCCACCAAAACTCCAGAAAAAAAACGGTCAACCATGGTGGTTGGTGTTAATGGAGTATTCCACCAGTGGTTTAACCAACACTGGGTGAAGCTAGTGGGACCGAGTGGTGGAAAGCATTCCGCCAGGGTTTTAACTGATACCTACCGGTAAAGCAGGCGGTACGAGCGACGGTACGAAATTTCGAACGGTCAGCAGTGACGCGTGGGCGGAAACCCGGCGGAGATCCACACTTCCGATTTCGGCGTATGCAACAAGGGAACCACGGCTCCAGCATACCAGGCGCGACAGACACGGGCACAACGTGCACAGTTTGTGCCTCGCCCAGGGACGGAGTGCTTCTATTGTGGTCGGGAAGGACATTTTGCGCGTGATTGTCGATTGAAGCAGGCGGATCTGGCGACTGGACAGCTCAGTGCAGGGCAAGACGAGAACGAAGGACCGGGAGCGGGAAACACTCCGCGGGCGTAAGGGTCCCGGTACTTACTGCTAGCAAGGTCTGGCCCGGGAAGACGACAGGAAGGTTTGAGGCGGCACGCACAGCGTGTGATGAAACGAGAGTCGGCGGTAGAGCACCCGCGTGCAGCGTCGGCGCGTGGTGGTGTGTGCGATTGGGGATGGCGCAGTGGCCACGGTCGAGAAGGGCAGTATGTGTGCGACTGGGGATGGCGCGACGGAGTATTCGCATGAGGACAACGCCATGACGGCTGAGGCGGTGTCCTTTAGGAGTGACAGTACGGTTGACGCGGGCGGCTGCACCAGCGTGCTGAGCAAGGATGAAGTGATAGCGGCCGTCAACTGGCAACTTGAAGAATGGCAGAAGACGCACGGCGAGGGCGACAGTGGCGATTCTGTGCCGCGAGCAAGAAGACGAGGCGGCGACGATGGCGCTCCGCGGTGCCTGGAAGAGGCCATGTCGTTGGAGCTGGGCAATATCGACAGAGAACCGGCCCGAGTGCTGCTCGTGAGGATGAAGGACGAGGAGAACGCGCGTGTAAGGGCTTATGAGACGGCACAATGGGAACAGAAGCGACAGAAACGCGTCAATCACACCAAGGCACGCCTGGCGAGGCGAGCCGAACGTGAAAGGCTGGCGGCGGAGATGGCCGGAGGCGATGTTGCAGAGGTGGTGACGTCGGCGCGTGTACCCAAGCGCGAGACGAACCACGGTATTGTGGCTGAGTGCGATGTGGCGATGCCCGGACCAACGGACGAGTTCCGACGTATTTTGCGATGGAGCGCAGTGGCAGCACGGGCGTTAAACGAGGTGAGGGCCGGTGAGAAGGCGTTGAAGGGCGGTTATGCGAGCCTTGCAGTAGCGGAAGCTCGACGACAAGAGGAACTGGCCGCGGGTGGCGTGGTCGGAGAAAGCGAAGTTCGAGAGGGTGTAGCTCGGCAGCTGGTGCTGGCTGCTGCTGGGCTTGACGCCATTGAAGAAAGCGAGTGGACGGTGGAACAAGGAACGCGGCTGCAACGTTCCAGGACGCGACGGAGGTACGAAAAACGAGTACGAAAGGCGCTTGCGAAAGAGAAGCGTGAGCTGAGGGGCGTGCTGGCGAAGGAAAAGAGCCCCGAGCAGGCGTACTTTGCGTTCGTTGAGCTGTACAAGAGCTAGGCAGGCACAAGGCGGTTCCTAAGCCGTGAAGAAGCGGACGCTATTGGGTACGCCCTCCCGAGTGCGACCGAGGAGCAGTTAAAGCGGAAGGGAGCGGGCAAACGAGCGTAGAAGACGTACGATTACCGCAGTGGTAGTGTGTACGCGTACCCGAGTGTGGGGGTATTCGACGATGGACAGCGACCCAGGAGAGTGGGCCAGGTCAGGGTTGTACAGGCACCGACAGTTGACTCACTGCCCACGGCACAAGTCGAAGTGCAAGAAGAGCGACGTCACGTTAAACTGGATACGGGCGCACGGGAAGCGTGGGGAACGTTGGGTGAGCGACTGAATGTGCTGCCGCCGGTGGATTATGTAGAAGGCTTCACCGGTCGAGTAGCGAAGGCGCTTGGAGCGTGGTATTTTTTACTTCGAACGCGATAGAAGTCGACGCACTGATGGTGGAAGGCACCGCCACCGAGTTTCTACTGGGGGAGGATTGGATGTTGCGAAACGGAGTCAAGATCGACTTCACAGCGTGTGAGATGAAGAGGTACTGCAACGACGAGAAGCGGATCATGCCGTTTAGCTATGACGGTCAACAGGACGGGGACGCAGTGAGAGTTCGAATTGTGAAAGCCGCGAAGGTCACGACGAACACGTGTAGATGAGTGGAGTTGGCAGTGTCAGCGCCAGAAGACATGGTGGGCTTGTTTATGTCACACCTGTTGCTAGCTCCTACTCTGACGACGATTTGGGACGGCCGAGTAGCAGTCCCGGTGATAAATCTGGTAGGCACTAGAGTGAAGCTGCCGGCCCGAGAGTTGTTTGGAACGTGGGCGACAACCACAGACGACATGAAGGTACTCGAGATGACAGGATCCTTGACCCGCGATCGTGTGAGGCAATGGTTGTGAGACCTTGGCATGAGCAAGGGGCCGCTGAGTAACGAAGACGAGTTGGACATCGGTAACTTGGGGGATACGGACAAAGAATTGTCATTGACGCTGTTACGACTCTACCCGACACTACTAGAACCACAAAAAGGTTGCCCGCCGATGACGACGCTAGGAGTGCAGCACGAGACCCACGCAGGGAATGAGGCGCCGATCAAAGTGCGACCACGGCGGCACGCTCACGAGGATCATCAGTTCATCGACGACAATGTTGACTCGATGCTTAGATATGGAGTGGTCGAGGAAGGTCACGGTGCGTGGGGTTTCCCCGTCGTGCTCGTGAAGAAGAAAGACGGGTCGGTACGGTTCTATATCGACTACAGACTACTGAACGCTATAACGTAGAAGGATGTGCATCCCCTTCCGAGGATTGACGACACACTCGACAACTTACACGGTGCTAGGCGGTACACCAGCTTGGACCTACACTCAGGGTACTGGCATGTGGCCGTAGAAGAGCAGGACCGAGATAAGACAGGCTTCGTCACTAGGAAAGGACTCTTCCGCTTTGTGCGCATGCCGGTTGGCTAGGCCAATGCGCCCGGGACTTTTCAACGGATGATGGATGCGGTGCTGCGCGGGCTCACGTGGCAGTCGTGTCTTGTCTATCCAGACGATGTGATTGTGTTTATCAATGGCGATGTCGCAAGTCACGTAGTGGAGCTAGCCAAGGTGCTCGAGAGGCTATCACAAGCAGGACGCTCGTTGAAGGCGAAGAAATGCACGCTCGCAGCTGAGAGGCTGGAGTACCTGGGTCACGAGTTGGACGCTGACGGGGTGAGGCCGATGGAGAACCTCGTGGGTAGCGTGAAGGACTTCCCGGTCCCGAACGACACGACGAAAGTGAAGCGGTTCATCCACATGGCGGGCTACTACAAGAGATTTGTACCAGAATTCGCGAGCAGGGCAGCACCTACTAAGGAAGGGCGTGACGTGGTGCTGGGGCGACGACCAGTAACACGCGCTCGAGGGTTTGAAGAGCGCGCTGACGGAGCGGCCACTACTGGCGTATCCGGACTTTTCGAAGCCGTTCCGACTCGTGACGGACGCGTCAAAGACAGGTCTAGGAGCAGCATTGGTGCAGGATCAAGATGACGGGGAACAGCCGGTCGCCTACGCATCCAAGGTGAACTCGGAGACGGTGGCCAAGTACAGCATTACCGACTTGAAATGCACAGAAAGGATATGGGCGGTAAAACTGTTTCGCCCGTATCTGTACGGGCGACGCTTTGAGCTGTTGATGGACCACGCAGCGTTGAAGTGGTTGATGACAAGCAAGGATCTGACAGGGAGGCTGCATCGTTGGGCGTTACAACCTTAAGAGTACAACTTCGAAGTGGTGTATCGGCCGGGCTCGAGCAACGTAGTGGCTGCCGCGCTGTCGAGAGCGCCAGTGGATGTGGCACTACCAGTGAACGTAGTGGCGACGGTGAACACGGTGGCGTCGGTAGGCATGGCATCGGTGGCTGACCACGGTGGCAGTGGTCGGGCGACAGAAGGGCGTGGCGGAGCAGAGAAGCCGACGACCGGCAACGAAGGACAAGTGACGGACGAGGAGGTTAAGGCGGGCAAGCGAGTGACAAGACAGTCAAGAAGCTAAAGGACAAGAGCTGGTACGGCAAACAGAAGATCGTGACAAAGGACGGGATAGTGTATATCGAACTGGCAGGTGTAGGGAGCCGCGTGGTGCTTCCTACGACCCTGTGGGCGAGGGTCCTGCGGGAGAGTCACGACTCGGTGTATGTGTGTCATCTACGTACACCGCAAACGTACGCGAGGATGGCGGCCACTTACTGGTGACCCGACATGGGGTAGCACGTGCGCAAATGGCTACAGTCCTGCCGGGATTGTGGATCGAGAAAAGCTAAAGCGAGAGAAGGTGTACCGTCACTAAGGAGTCAAGGCGTCGGGAGTCCTGGCGACCGATGGGCGCTTGACGTGGCAGGGCCGTTACCTGTCACGGTGGAAGGCAACAGATACGTGGTAGCAGTGGTGGACTCTGCAACACGGTACGCGGTGGTGGTGTCAGTGCCTCATCATACGGCCAAGGACGTGGCCAAGTTTATCATGAAGAAGTAAGTGTTCGTGCACGGGCCCATGCGGGAAATTGCGATGGACGGAGCACTCGAGCAGAACGGACGGATCGTCGGGGAACTGGTGAAGATGCTGCAGGCGCGGCAGCTTACACCTGAATCGTACCGACCGGCCTTACTTGGACTGGTTGGGCGTTCCCACAGAACCTGGAAGGATATGATTTCGATCTACGTTGAGGAGAAGCAAGACGACTGGGATTGGTGGCTGCCTTGTGAAGCGTATGTATACAATGGGGCACGGCACACAGGTACGGGATTCAGCCCGAACTGATGATGGGGCGTCGTCTGAGGACGCCGAATGAGCTGTTATAGACCAGTGGGGTCACGCAGACGGGGCCCTTCGTGGGTACCACTGGCAACTAGTAAGCAGTATGGAGAAGGCGACGAGAGCGGCTCGGATTCGATAGCAAAGGATTAACTACGGCGTGAGCGATACTATAGCAGACGCAGTCGGCAGGTCACAGTGTTCGAGGTAGGCGATTAAGTGGGTCAAGGTATCACGAAGCTGGCACATCGGTGTGTCGGACCAGCCAAGATCGCGCAGAGCGCGGGATTCGACAATTGGGTCCGCGAGGATAACGGCGAACGGATGATTGTGCTTGTAACTTTTTAGTGTCGAGGCGATGCCCGAGCGACTCGCTAGGCGCGGTAGCGGACCGTATTGTGGCCGAGCTCGCTGGGGAGGACGGTGAGTCGGACAATCAGAACAGCGATACGGTAGCGTCATAGGGGCTTGTCCAGTAAGACGCGGTCGACGGAGAAGGAGAAACGTGACCAAGCCGAACAGGAATAGCAGCGGCGAATGAGCACGCCGTGGAGGCGCCCAGGGCGAGTGAAGCCGTGGTGCCGCAACAATCAGTGCGTAAAGAGAAATGCGGTCGACAAGTGCAAAAAGGGCGAGTGCACCGGCACTGGCGACGGGGCTAACACAGCAACAGGGACATATTGGTCGATGAACGAGCACGGTCCCGAAGTAGCGAAGCGCCTGCTCTGCGTGGACGAGCCGAACCCCCGCTACCCCGAAAGGCACTGAAAACCGGTGGAGCTGGGAGGGATACCCAGAGCTGTACGAGGCCGCATATGGCGAAAGAGCCCTTGGATTAGAAGTACTGGTTACGATACCCGTCCTATTTCACCAAGAGCAAAAGAC